GGCCCTGAGGAGCCAACTCAAACAACTGGAAACCCAAAACTCCAACCTGCAGGCTCAGATAGTGGCTGTGCAGAGGCAGACGGCCTCTTTACAGGAGAACAATACAACGCTACAGACGCAGAATGCCAAACTACAGGTAATCCCATCACACCTCTCACAGCTTGGTGTGTGTTTATGGGAATTTTTCACACTTCTTCCAGAAGCGCATTTGTGAAGTCGGAGAATGATACATGTTGGAACAGGAAGGGGTCGTCCCCAAACGGTTACCTCAAAGTTAGGAGTATGAAATTGTCCAAAAAGTCTTTGTATGCTGAAACGTTAAGAGTTTCTTTCACTGAAACTAAAGGGCTGGGCCCAGCTCCCAAAGAACAGCCCTACACAATAATCCCGCATCACCCAAACTTTATACTTGTCTCAGTGCAGTCAGACAAGTACCGTTCTTCTGGCAACCATCAAACTCATCCATCGGATTGCCAGACTGAGAGTCATGATTCATCACTCCTGAGAACACGCCTCCACTGCTCTATAGTCCAATGGTGGAGTGCTTTGCACCACTGCATCCAACCATTTTTTTCTGTTTGGTGAAGTAAGGCTTGAATGCAGCTGCTATGCCATTAAAACTCTTTCCATGAAGCTCTACTCAGTTCTTGAGAACAGAGAGTTTGGGTTCTGTAGCAATTGACTTTGCAGAAAGCTGGCAACCATGAATATAGTAGGCGACAGAGCTTTGTTAGCCGTTCTGACTTGGATGGCACTGCATTGTGCCTTTATAGCCTCCTCTGTGTACTGCCCTGTTTGCACTGTTGCCTTGCCCGGCTGCTTAGCTCTCTGCTCTGGATTTACACTTGTCCTCCCTGTTTGGCAGTAATTCAAACCCTTCTTAAGGGTGGAGGGATTTACACAGTAGCTGTTTCTCTGTTTGCATGTGTTGCTTTGAATTGGGCACCGTTTGAGGACATTTGTATGTGGGGCAGGCTAGAGGTAGTTAAAAGAGTTTTTAAAAAAAGGTAGAAATTGTAGCAACACCAGGACTGTGTGTGTGTGCGTGTTCATAGTGTGAATAAACACAGTAGTCATGTCTGTAGAGGGATTTGAGAACTGGGTGCTGCTGTGATCATAAAGGAAAACATGTAAAGAAACAGCTTTCATGCTGATGTTTTGTAGTATTTTGAAGCAGGAGAGCAGGTTGAGGGAAGAGTGCCCCCTACAGACCAAAGCCCCATCAGCTACTGCTTCCAAGTTCTTTGATGTTTGATTTAAGGGGCTTAATGCTGTTCTTATTCACACGCCACACATCACTCTTATCACCTCTTTGCTTAATATGTCCTTTTCTCCCTCTGCCTTTGTCCTCTTTTTAGGTGGAAAACTCAACTCTGAGCTCACAGAGCGCATCCCTGATGGCCCAGAACGCCCAGCTGCAGAGCCAGCAGAGCAGTGTGGAAGGAGAGCGTGAAGGAGCGCTGAGGGAGAAAGAGGAGCTGAGAGCTACCTACGAACTGCTGCTGCGCGATCACGAGAAGCTGGCAGCGCTCCACGAGAGGCAGGCAGCTGAATATGAAGCGCTGATCGGGAAGCACGGTGGGCTGAAGACCTCCCACAAGAGCCTGGAACAGCAGCACAGGGACTTGGAGGACAAGTGAGATGTGGTTTAGGAGCTTGGGATGGGCGCATGCTCAAGTCTAATTACAGCTTAAGTCTCATTTGTGACTTTAGTTTGTAGTTTGGCTGCCTTTTGCAAGGAAATATGGTCCTGGACCTAACGACATAAGTGTTAAGGTGTGTGTCTGTTTGCGTATGTAGGTACAAACAGCTCTTGCAGAGAAAGGGGGAGCTGGAGGAGCTGGAGAAAAATCTGAAGGAGCAGCAGGAAAAGATGGCCCTGGAGAATCAGACCCACCAAGCTACAGCTGACCAGTACAAACTGCTCAAAGAGGAAAATGATAGGTCAGCTCAAGCTTTTTTCCATAACCTTAAACATTATGCTCACATTAGCACTAATTTATCAAAGGGACTGACTTAAATCAATGAGGCCGTCTACCAAGGAGTTGATTTTCTCTCTCCTCAGGTTGAATAGCACCTATCGTCAGCTCTTGAAGGACAATGAAAATCTCCAGCTGGACCATAAAAACCTAAAGAGCCAGTTGAACAGTGCAAAGCTGGACCAAACCAAGCTGGAGGCTGAGTTTTCTAAACTGAAGGAGCAGTACCAGCAGCTGGACATCACCTCCACCAAGCTAACCAACCAGTGTGAGGTAATGAGTCTCTCTTCTCTTCCCTTCAGGTTTTTCTCATGGTGTCTACCTTTTTAATGTATCATATTTCAAAACACTGCTTCTAAAGCCAAATATGAATGTATCTGTCTATGTTTGTGTTAGTTGTTGAGCCAGCTGAAGGGAAACTTGGAGGAAGAGAACCGTCATCTGTTGGATCAAATCCAGACTTTGATGTTACAAAATCGCACACTGCTGGAGCAGACCATGGAGAGCAAGGACCTGTTCCACGTAGAGCAAAGACAATACATGTAAAACTCACATGGTTCTGACATTCTGGCATATTTCTTTGTATCTGTGTTTGTAAATGCAAATATGCTGCCTTTATGTTTAGAGTGTATGCATTCTTGTCTGCTTTTACTGTGCTTTTATCTTCTCGTTGTCCAACCTTCAGAGATAAGCTGAATGAGCTGAGGAGGCAGAAGGAGAAGTTGGAGGAGAAGATCATGGACCAGTACAAGTTCTATGACCCTTCACCTCCACGCAGGTGCATAATTTGTTTCCTTTAAATGACATAAAATTGAGTCAAATTGGTAAAGTTCTGCATACTTGCTGTCTTGTATTTTGAGATGGAAAAGCAGTGCAGCATCAGGGAGTGCATCAAATATTTATTACCTGCAGAGCATCATACAGCTGTATAGTGAAATTTCTTTTTCTTAACCCTGATAGTCATTTGGGCTTAAATGAAGCCTAAAATAAAATTTAAAATG